GGGACGGCATGGGGGCATATTCATTACTCTGAGGTCTAAAGGGCGACTTGAGTTATGCACAAATACTCAGACCCCCACCCCCACAGCTACAGAGTAAAATGAGACCAAATCTGCTGGAAAACCACGGACTTGGCAACAAGCAGCACAGCAGCAGAGATAAAGATAACGGGGAATCTTAAATGTGTAATTTACTGTTACTCTTATGGGTGTGAGTTGTATTATGTTGTGCAATAGATGTATGTGATTCATTTCGTCTCTACAAAAGCATTGTGAAATCATCCCATCCGAGCGATTTATTCAACAGCTTCTTTACAGGTATTTAATGCATAAAACATATCCCAGGTTACGATTAGGTTTTTAAATCATTTCATATATTATAATATATTTTGTTTTATTTCTTGGTTAATTGTATATTTGGTTAGTTTTATGTATAGTATAGTTTTATGCTTAACAAGTTATAAAGTTTTGTGAAGTTTGTTGTAAAGTTATAAAGTTTGTGGCAACTACATTATTACTCAAACGTTAACGTTAGGCCATTTTTTCTTCGTGCTCACGTGTTTAAAGGTGAAATATGTAACCTTTTTGGTTTTAAAATACAGCGCTTCCTGTCTGCATAACTTCTTATCTCTTTTGACTGCTCTGTAAAATAACAAGTAAAATGCAATTTGATATTGCATTAGTTCATAGAGAGAGAGAGAGAGATTTAGGTTCGTTATAAAACAGTAACATGTAAAAAAATTTTGAGTTTGAGTTTGATTAAAATTAACCATTGGTCTTCTTCCATTAGCATACATTTAGATCATGATAACGACAGTTAAAGCCACACCTCAATACCATGATAAAAATGTAACTAGGCTATATGGTTTCCAGGTATTTGTATGAAAAACAGTGACCTAAATACATTTACTATAAATGCACAAATGCTATAGTTTAATATATATATATATATATACATATTAGAGGTTTTTGCATCTGAACTCTTCATATTATTGATATGTTATGAACTCATGCAATGTCAAAGTGCATTTATTTATACATGTTATTTAATATTGTATCTTAATGTATATAATGAAGTTTTTTTTTTGGAGCGTTATGCACACATTGTCTGTTACTGTACCTGCTTCTTTATTATTTTTAATCAAGTTACAGGATCAAGATGGTAGACACAAAAGAAGATAACCAGCCAATTTCAGCCACTGTGCAAAACACAAAATTCATCTGGTCACCAAAGGGGATGATTTTAGCTCTTGAAATTGTAAGTCTGCCCGGAGTTAGAAATGTAGTTAATCAAGATTCATGCTGATTTAAAATTAATAATGTACTAATCTGATTGGTTTAAAGTAGTATTAAGCATAATACTTTTATTTGATACATTTATGACAAGCTGTAGGTGATTCATCTTGAACAATTTTGTGTGTGTATGTGTGTCATGGGTCAGAAAAATGCATATATGTATACAGTACTTTTTTAATAAATTATTTTACTATTTGTTTTAATAGGCTCTGTGTGCCATTGTGACTATTTGTAAAGCAGTTTCCTTTGAATGCTACTTTTGGGGCTGCATTACAGAGCTGGTCTGGGCCATTCTCATATTCATCGTTTATGCCATCGACCTACCTACCTACATGCACCTATCACTGATGTATTTCCAGTGGCTGGTAAAAAATATTTGTGTACTCGATATTGGATTATCTTTATTTATTTAGACCAATTACTTGAGTAAGTTATAAGCTTACTCAATACCTTTTACTCTCAAGCTCTTCCTTTACAGTTTTTAATGAAAAAATACATTTAAACAAAGTCATATGTTCTCCTTCATATTGTAGGACTTATTCAGAGCAATCACAGGATCAGTCCTCCTTCTTGTTACTTCTCTTATCTGTCTTAGCTGGGGATGGACAAGTTCCGGGGGAGTTGCTGGTTCGGTGAGTAAATTGGCAAAGACTGCATTCGTGGCTGAAAGGATAATCTTAAAAGACAAAGTAATAAAAGTTATCGGTTACTCTGCCCCGAAATGAATATCTAATGGTGTTGCTGTCAAACTCTGATCACATTTTACAAAATTAGATCCTAATGTACTTTTTAGTGATTATAAGATGTGGTATGTATATGAACGATTGATTTTCTTTTTTGCATTTTATGACCCTTGTGCTTTCACCATTGTTTCTTTCACACTTTTTTCATGCTTGCTCTTTCTTTAAGATTTTTGGTTTGCTGGCAGCAGCAGTGCTTGGATATGATGCCTTTGGCATAATCAAATACATTAAAAGTCTGAAACAGCAGGGGGCGACTGTGGCTGTTAGTAAGTATCAGCACCAACATTCATCAATAATCACTATAAAGTTATATGCAATGATTTTAAATGTCCTTTCCAAATGTTAGAAACACTTAAATAAAGAAAACATCTTGGATGTTGTTTCACAAATACACAGAATTACAGTCAAAATCTTCTTTCTGTGCAGTTTTTCTTCAGTTTTTGCCAGGCTTTAATGATACAACAGCTCAACTAATTGTTTTACATGTTCTGTTTTCCTTCCCAGGTGTTGTTATGGTCGAAAATGTGGTTTACTGAATACAACAGGAACTCCTAAGGTTTTCACATACTGTATGTTTACAGTTGATAATTTTTTATATTTTTGTCATTTCTTGTTAACATCTAAAAATCTTGATTAAAATGACACATTTTCAAATATACTTAATGTTATGACCTTAAAGAGTGCAATTATTAGCCTGTTGCATATTTTCTGTTGGAGATCAATAATACACAGTAATATACAAACCTCATAAACTAAAAAATTAAGTGAGATTTTAACATTTTATTAAGAACCAGCTTTCACAAAACCATATATAAAGGTACAAACACAAAAAAGAGTTCAAAAGGTTGTGTTCCCAAAATGCTAATTCACCTATATGAACGCAACAGTCTCTCATTTAAAAAGCCCTACAATAAAAAAATGGCAAAGACAGACATCCAGTTCATATAAAAAATATTCACAATAACAAAGAAAGACATTTAATACACTTAACCCTAAAATCGCTAAGTAAAAATGAATAAAAGATTTAAAAAATAAATAAAACTATAAAAGACGAATGATTAAAAAAAACATAGAAAACAGCAGCACCACAGACTGGGAAGATTGATTTTCAACACTGATCCTACCATAGATGTTGGCAAGAAAAGAGTCTCCTGAGAAAGATACTATATAATAGTATCTGTGAGTAAAGACTGTCTGCACATTATAAAGTGCACTTGAATTACTAGTCACCTCTGTACTGTGTGGGGACTGCAAACTGGTCTCCTCTGGGATGGGCCGGTTCTGTTGTGTGTTGTTCTGCCATTTGTTGTGTTGCAGCTAAATGGTCCCCAGCTATCCTAGTAGACCCAGATGGTCCAGTGCAGTTTTGGATGCTATCTCTGAGCTCAGACAGCTGGTGAGAATGGTTAACAAGGGTGCTATTTACATGAGACAGATACCCATCAGAGTGTCTCTCCAGCTCTCCTCGAATTCTTTCTAGGTCGTCAGCCAGGTGTGCCAGGCCTCCACACTGACCCTCCACACGAGCAACACGACCCCCGACTTCAGTCACCTCTTTCTGGACACCCAGAGCAGTGGAACGGCAACCCTGGAGCTCTCCGGCCACTCGGCGCCGCAGATCCTGGAGTTCCCCTTTCAGACGGGTCAATTTTCGCTCCCCAGTACCCAACATAGATGCCTGACGTCCCACCAGCTGAACCACACCCTTCACCTGCTGCGCAAGCCTTTCTTCTCTTTCTTGCCAGGTGAAGTTGGTTTGGCCGACCTCTCTGATCACAGAGCCGAGATACTCTTGCAAGCCACAGAGAGACCTGTTAACAGAGTTCATGCTAACTTTCAGCAGGGTCACCTCACTCTGAAGACCTGCCTCCTCTTGTTTCTCTGCCAACTGGACAAGAAGATTATGTAGAGTGGCGTTGAGGTTGTTCAATCTCTCTACTTGTAAATCAAGTTTCCCATTCATTTCCTTGTGGTTGTCCTCACTTCCCTCATCCTCAGTTCCCAAAGGAGTGACATATCCTGTAAGAACAGGCTGTGGAACACAAGATGAAGTGCACATGATCTCTATGGATTTGAGCTGTTTCTGTAAACGGTCCAAATCGTCCTCAACTCTTCTTCTGAGTGATTCTACTTCTGTCTCCAGTGTGGGCACAGCCTGACCCTCTAGTAAAGTTGGTGCTGTGACATTACCTAGCTCCTCCACTGCAGCCAAAAGACGACTTTCGAGAGCCTTAAGCTTCCCCTCCAATTGCATCTCCAGGTTGCTATGCCCTCTTTTGTTAATGGTTGCTTCCTCTTGATTTAATGCAATGTTCATCTTGGATTCCATGTAGCCCAGTCGGCCTTCCAACATGCCCTCTATATGGTCCTTGTGTCCACCAAGTTCAGCACGTAAATGAATTTGGGACTCATTGAAGCCACTCACTGACTGCTCCACATAAATGAGCCTTTCAGTTAGACCTGATATGGCAATGCAGCAACCCTCTTCAGGCTCCAGGTCTCGAAGCTGAGCCTGCAGTTTTTGGAGTTCTCTCCTTAATTCTATGGCCCTTATGTCTAGGACTTGCTCAATTTGCTCTTGTCCATCCAAACGTTCCTCCTTGCACTGAAGGCGCACCTCTGCCATACGACCCTCGCATCGCTCCTCAGCACTCTCCACACGCTTTTCAAAGCCATCTAAGATGGCCACTCGTGTTTCGCTCATTTTGGACTCCACCGTTGTCTCCAGGGCCTTTTGAAAGTGAGTTTGTGTAAGGTTCACTGACCTATTTGACAGTCTTTGAAGGGTGTTGTTGTGACCCACGACTGCTGCTCTCAACTCTTCCATCTCAGATGCCTTTGCCACAAGCTCTGCTCGTAGCTCTGAAACCTTTTCAGCCAAATCGACCAAGTTTGGGAACTGACCCACCACATCTGAACCCTCAATATCTGGTGCACCTCCAGGCAGATCTCCAAAACCCACAGAAGTGTCCCTGGACAGGGAAGGAGCGGCGAAAGGGCTGGGTCCTGCAGAAATGAGAGCAGTCAACATTCGGTTGGCATCTTCACGGAGGGAAGCACGCAAGCTGTCCTCCAGGCCTGTCACTGTACCACGAAGAGTCTCTAGACCAAGAGAGAGTCGCTGCACATCCTCTTCTATCCTATCCAACCGCTCATCTTCGATACTGTTATCATTATGATCTGTGAATGCATTATATTTATCTAGTTAGTCTGAACACACTTGCAGCTTTATACTGTACAAAGAAATTATGACTCTAGAAAACTGTATATACTAGAGTGTATAACTGTAAAATATAGCTAATTTACCTTGGTTTGTTTCACTTCCACCAGAGGGCGCCTGTGCATTGGGAACAGGCCCCAACAGGCCCTCACTATGTTCTGGTATAGAACTATAGTGATCTGGCTGTGGATTCTGGTAGTCTGTGATTGGCTCATTCTCTTCTGGGATTACATCATGGCCAAGATCTTGAGGCTCTGGCATCGGTTCAGGATAATCTACTTCCAGTTCCTGGTGGTCTGGAGAAATTTCAGCTGAGGTATCTCGGGAAGAGGGACCAGTATTAGGGCCTGGGTATTCATTCATGCCATTAGGTGGTGTTTGAGGTTGATTCCAGGGGTTTCCATTGAAGCTGGGATAGGGAAATTGGCCTTTAAATGAAGGCACTGGACCCTTTTGAGAGGGATTGGGACCTTTAAATGAAGGCATTGGACCCTTCTGCATAGGCCTGGGACCCTTCTGTGCAGGCATGGGCCCTTTAAAAGAAGGCATAGGACCCTTCTGTGCAGGCATGGGCCCTTTAAAAGAAGGCATAGGACCCTTCTGTGCAGTCATGGGCCCTTTAAAAGGAGGCATAGGATCCTTCTGCATTGGCATAGGTCTTTTAAAAGAAGGCATAGGACCCTTCTGCATTGGCATGGGCCCTTTAAAAGTTGGCATAGGACCCTTCTGCATTGGCATGGGCCCTTTAAAATGAGGCATATGACCCTTCTGTGCAGGCAGTGGTCCTGTGAATAGGGGCCTTGCTTTCATTCCATATACCGCAGTACAACCAACACCTGCATATCCAGGACAGCATTTCCACTCCAGCTCTGTCATAGTCTTATATGCAACTTTATACATGGGTTTGTAGTACATGTGATACCTGTAAGAACAGACAGGGTGTCAAAATGAGCTAAATCTAACAAATGCATTTTTTTATATAAATATATATTTATATACAAATGTATGACAGTTAAATAGTTATTAATAGCTTACTTTATAGTTGGGCATTTCTGACCCCAAGCACACTTGTTGTACTCTGGCTTCATGAAGGGAGCCGCTCCATCCTGAATAGTGAACGAGACAGTCTTCTCCACAACATATGCACAGTGGTTCCTAAAGAGATACAATTATATAACACTCAATCATTGAAGTTGTCAATAGCAAGAAAAACAAATGTTCCCTCTCTCTTAACACTGAAAGAATCAGCTATTTGCTGTGCTGTACTCAATATGCTATGTTACCTAAATAAATGTTACCTAAACCAACCTTTATATATTAACATTAGCCAACCAGTAGTTAATACAAACTAACAATCAACAGAATTTCAACATTTATTTATCTTGGTTAACATTTATTTGTACATATATTTTAACATTAAAAATGACATACACTAACATTGTTTTATAGTTCCACTAACAATTACAGAATACATAATCACATTAAGCAAAATTAATAAATTCTACATAAATTATCATTGTTGTTGGTGATGATACCTAATGCATTTACTAATGTTAATGTAAAGATCTCATTGTAAACATTTTTATTCTTTATGAATTCACCACATTTGAGGAGATTTATGATAGCACCTCAATGTAAACCAAACATATTGCACACAACAGTA